CTCACGACGGACTTGCTCGATATGGCGAGGCAACTGAAAGAGCAATCAATACACTTTGGAAACACGCTCGAAGGGGACAAAGGCGTAGTGGATCGCGCACTTGCAGGGCTAGACAAGAACACGTTGAACATGGATGCTGCCAGCAGGAGAATGGGTGCCCTGCGGAGGATGACTGAAGGCAAGGGTTGGTGGGACAGAATCAAGCTGTATGGCATGATCGCTGGGCTATGGGTGATCGCCTTCCTGATCGTCTTCGTTGGGCCGAAGATTCGGTTCTAAGGCAACACTCGATCTTGCCAATCCATGTCGCAGCCATCAGCCTTGAACAGTCGTATACGAATTGCAGGGGTTAGAATATGTTGGCGGAATCACAGCGCAAGCTCTACTCGACTGCCAGCATCACGAACAGCATCGTACGATAATATACCCATCCAATTCAGTCCATATTCACACCGCTCTACATGCAGTACAGCGCATTGTTACCGTGTCAATGGTTCAATCTTGGATACTCCACGATGGGGCTGTCCGATCTTCACGGCTGAGCCACGTCAAATCTGGACCCTGCGCATCTGCATGTACCCGCTTAGCGGCTCCGAGCTTCATCTTAATGTGTGCTGTCGCTCGACAACAACACAACACAGCACCATCATCCCTTCTCACGCGATTGATATTTTTATAATTGGTGTCGCGAAAAGATGGCCGCCATGGAAATGCACTCATTGGGCGCGCGCTGTACGTACTCGAAGCCTGGCACGTTATGACGAGCATCTACTCTACTGCTCGTAATCTACAATGCGCATTGCCTGACAAACATCTCCAGCACTAAACCACGCGTCCTCTGATACCGAAGCCGAGTACGACCGTCTCCGCGACCTTGCGCGCCAAGAAGCCGCAAAACGATCATCCTGCTTCGACAAAGCCCACCAAGCGTACGAATCCGGCGATGGAGCGCGCGCACACGAGCTTTCCGAAGAAGGCAAAGCCCACGCCGCGAAGATGGACCAATACAACCGTCAAGCGCGCGACTACATCTTCCGGGAAAACAACGCCGAGGGCAGAGTCGCGGGCGATACTATTGACCTCCACGGCTTGTTCGTAGAAGAGGCCGAAGATGTGCTGGAAGAGAGGATTAGGGTTGCGAGGCAAAGGGGAGAAGGCCATCTACATGTTATTGTGGGCAAGGGCAATCACAGCAGGAACCACGTCCAGAAGATCAAGCCGAGGGTCGAGCAGGTGTGCCGCGAATTGGGATTGCAGTATCGCACTGAGGAGAACGAGGGCAGGATCTTTGTCAATCTGCAGGGTGGTGATGTGCATGAGATGCCGCCGCCTCCTCAGGCTCCGAGCTATGGAGGGTACCCTGGACAGCATGGTGGTCAGCACGGTGGTCAACAACATGGAGGTCACCAGCAGCATGGTGGTCAGCAACACGGTGGCCAACAGCATGGACAACAGCATCATGGACAACAGCAGGGTCAGAACGATGAAATTGAGCAGATGGCCAAGAAGGGCTTGTCCAGGTTGCTCAAGAAGCTTGGGTGCTGTACGGTCATGTAAGGGCTTCATTGATATGCTCCTGTGTAGGTTGTTGAGGGTGATATGGAGGGGTTGAGGGACCTTCAGAACACGTTTGATACCCGCGGATTGGATGATGGGATGAGTTTGGATAGGGACGATTCGATGTATATAAGGTATATATTTGGATATAGCAAAACGATAAGAGTATATGAAGCCCTGCTCAAATGTTGCGTTTCCTTGTTCATTACTTCTCTCTTCTTTTCTCACCAGCTGAACCTCTTTCGCATAAGAAAGAGATCCACCATGTAGACAAAAAAGCCGTGCGGACTTCTCGAAGAAAACAGAAAGACACAGGTAGCATCATCAGGAACAGATGATGGCATGGAACAACTGACATGAATTAATAGCAATCCGTTTCAAAGTAAGAAAGAAACGGCGCAATCGAACGCACCGAGAAGTCCTAGCAGGGAGTTCAAGCTCATATGAACTCGGATATGTAAGCCCCACATGACATCGTCTGTTGCTTGAAAACCAGAAGTGCTCCCGAAGATGATGAGAGCATGCTCACTGCAACCTGTATAATGCTCAATCAAGCCGAGACATGCATAGTATACTGTACACAATGGAGTCGGTTGCAACTTGCTGACATCATATCGTACCCTGCCGAGAAGGTTGGTACGACGGAGGCGTTCCCTTGCTTCCGAAGATGCATGTAACGACGTTTATGCGACGGTTCGTGTAACGGGTGACGTCTTGTGTACTGTAGAGACGGATTGGAGAGGTGAGATGCATGGTGTTCATAAGGCTGCATATGCATCTCATCTGAATAGGGAAAATGGCGGGCATGTGTAGTGATACGGCGATGTCATCTTGCCCCGTTCTCTGAATGCAACGGAAGCTTGGATAGATTAGTCTGGTGCAACGAGCATTTCCGATGAAAGTCGCGAATGACGCTCACGGAGCCGCGGCCCGTTCCTCCACTTTCCACGCGCCTCCGCCGCTGAGCACCCTAACATTTCACACCTAAACAACCAACACATAGAGTACACAACATGATGACACAGACGCAACCGCCAGCCATCCCGTCGCCTCCGCCAGACCTCAGCGCCAAACTCCCCAAGCTCATCCCCCGCAAACGCGCCCCCACATCGCGAGAACCGCCGTCTGCCCCTCCCCCACCGACGCCCTCGTTACCCGCGCCGCCGAATCTAGAGAGACATACATACACGCGACCCTCGAGGCGCATATTGAGCCCAGAGGATCACCAACTGTTTCTCAAGAGCAAGACATGCACACTGGTCGAAGCATTCGTGTTCGGCATCGCCGACTCGGTACGCGACCGCAGCATCTTGAGCATCAAAGATGAACAAGTCACAGCCACAGTCAAGACCGTCGTGCAGATACTGTCAGAAGCGGAGAAAGTGCTAGACAGATGCCCACCAGAAGACACAGGCTCGCGCTTCGGCAACCCAGTCTTCCGCACCTTCCTCGACCAAGTGGAGACAGTGTTACCACTATGGCACGAGAAGCTCGGGTTGAGCGACAAGGCGCAGGTCGATGAGATAGCGACGTACCTCCACAATTCCTTCGGAAACAAGCGAAGAATAGACTACGGATCCGGCCACGAACTCAACTTCTTCCTCTGGCTGCTCTGCCTCAATCGCATCGGCATACTCCCCAACACTACCTTCCCCGCGCTCGCCCTCGTCGTCCTCCCCGCATACCTACGTCTCATGCGCCGCGTCCAGGAGTCATACTACCTCGAGCCAGCGGGTTCGCATGGTGTCTGGGGGCTGGACGACTACCAGTTCCTGCCCTTCCTGTTTGGCGCAGCGCAACTGCTTCATCACCCCTATATCACACCGAAGAGCATACACAACGCGTTGGTATTGGAAGAGGAGAGCAAGCAATATCTCTACCTCGACCAAATATCCTTCGTCAACTCAGTCAAGAACGTAGAGGGTCTGCGTTGGCATTCACCCATGCTCGACGACATATCCTCCGCGAAGTCATGGGCGAAGATCGAATCTGGGATGCGGAAAATGTTCCGCAAAGAGATTCTGGAGAAGCTACCTGTTATGCAACATTTCCTGTTTGGCAGCTTGGTGCCGCCGGTTGAGGGTATGAGCACGGAAGAGGAGGCGGGTGTGGAGAAGGAGGAGGAGGAAGAAGAAGGTGGCGAGGTCAAGGTGTTTGATGATGAGACGGGGAAGAGACATGTACACGCGAGTGCTGGTTGGGGTGACTGCTGCGGTATTCGTGTACCGGCTGCGGTTGGCGCGGAGGGTGAGGCGAGGAAAGGTGGTGTGAGGGGCTTGAGGAGGGTACCTTTTGATTGAGTCTCAGACTCAAGAGATGATGAAGAATATGGATGGGGTTGAGTAGAAGAAATCAGAAAAAAAACACTCCATTGATGGTGTCGGGTATACCTAGGTAGACTGACAATCAACAAATCCACACCTCCAACCCAAACCAAAGCTACCATCCAAACCTCCCCCAACAATCCCAAACTCCGCCATCCACCATCCCTACCCTATCATTCCACCCGACTAACCGTCGCAGCCCTCCTCCTTGTCCCCGCCTCCAAATTCAACAACGCAAACCTCTCCAACAAAACCGCCCTCTGCACCACCGTCTCCTCATCTTCCCCGTCCTCCACACCATTCTCCCCTACTCTATCCCCAACCGGGCTCTCCGCCCTCCGTCCCACATACCCATTCTCCTCCAACACCTCACCCAACGCACTCCTCGTACTGCTCTCAAACGCAATGCCAAACCCGCCGCCAGTTCGCGACATGGCTGTTGCGGTGCACAGCCAGTTTTGTGTTGCGGCTGCTACGCGGCTTACGGTTGTGGCGCCGGGTGGGGAGCGGCGGGCAGTGAGGAGGGAGAGGGCTGCGAGCGGTTTTTTGAGCTTGGTGGTTAGGGAGCGGGTTAGTTGGAGGGGTGTGCGGTGCCGGGGTTTGGGTTCGGGGGGTGCAGGTGGGGTGGTGTCAGGGGGGATGGGCGTGCTGGTTTGGGGGCTGGCGAGCGTGGTTGTTAGGGGGGCGGGGAGGGTGAGGGTTATTGTTGGTGTTGGTGGTGGAGATACCTTGTTGTAGGCGGGGTAGGCGGATTGGGCTGTTGAGGTGGTTGAGGTTGAAGTTGAGGCTGAGGTGGAGGGCTTGGGTGTGTCTCCTCCTGCTGTTATTGAGACTTGGTTTCCTAGGGGTATGGAGGGTGTTGCTGTTTCGTTCGATACAAGACCTGTGAGTCTGCGTCTGATGTTTAGGGTGTTGCTGGAAAGTATTGTTGTTAGGGTCGAGTTGGAAGAGAAGAGAAAGCAGTAGTGGGGACTTACAGTGATGGCTTGTTGTCGGAATCTCGATGAGGCGTGTCTACTAGCTGAAGAATTGATGATGGTGTTGAAGTGGTGCGAGATGGTATCGGAGTGGAGAGCTCCAAACGTCGAGGCTGTTGTGTTGATGATGATAGTGATAGTGATGGCGATGGGGACGGTGTTGCATCTGCTGAGGTGGCGAATCGCAGCCGGTTCTGTGCTTCGCCATCTTGACGAACTGGCACCCGCTGAGCTTGTGGTGACGGATATTGACGAGCTCTCAGCAAAGCCGGGTCTTCGACAAGACGATGCTGCTGACTCGAAGAAGACGAAGCCCGTGATGATGAGGTGTGGGAGATTCTCAGCGAACCAGAGCCTTCTACCCGGCGGTGCTGCTGCTGAGCCACCGGCGAAGGAATCGAAGAAGGCGGCGGCGAACGATCTGGCACTGGCTGAACTCGTGGTGATGAAGTGGGAGCTACTCTCTGCGAAGCTGAGACATCTGATACTGGACGAGGCTGTGGTGATGGAGAATGAGGTACTCCCAGCGGAATATACGTCGCAAACCGACGAGACTGCTGCTGAGCCGTCGGCAACGGACTCGAAGGAGGCGAACGTCTTGACCTTGACCTGTCGATACGCAATGGCCTCGGTACGTCGACATCCTTCGCATCTGGTACTGACTGTAGAAGAGGCATGGCTAGAACGAGGAGATGGGTATCAAGTCGCTGAACGCACGCCAATGAAGAAGAGAAGGTGTTGAGAGTCGTTGACAAAGAAATCGTCTGGTATCTGGCGAAAAGAGGAGAATCTTGGGGAACTGAGGTACTAGGTCCACCGGCCCTCTTGTACTGAGTTGCTTACATACTTCAGGGTGTTCTCGTGCTGTAATGGCGAGCAAGTCATGATGCAGGTGTGTACCCTATTGTCTCGTCTTTGAGCTCCGGGGCGTTAGCAGCTCTCCGTTTCCAGTGTTGTTACATTTGGTACTGTTGAGACTCAGGGTCGCCCATGCTGTGCATTTGCATGTGAAAGCGGTGTTCTGAGGCATCTCGATGCTTCCGACCGTAGCGGTCCGTGATCAAAAAAGTTGATGTTATCCTGGAACTTAGAGACACTGCAATCTCGTCTTTACAGGAAACAGCGATTAATTGTGTAGGGAAAACCCGCTCCAGCGCACTGACTAAAATGTCAAGAACTGCTTTCAATCGAGAACAAAGTGGCTGAACACTTACTGATATACCATCTTCTGCCCTCGTAAGTCCTTATCCAAAGAGACCCTTTCTCCTCATCCAGTCTCCACTACCCAGGTTCACGTTAAGGGTCAACCAATGCCGCACCCAACATCCCGATAATGATATTACAACGACACCCTTATCATTGCATCACCTTTACTTCTTCATCTTTCTACTCGTAATAATACTGAGATCGCTCCCTTCCGACCCAAACAGTGCTCCCGTATGCCATTTCCTTTGGACAAATGAGTAAACACCACAGAACAAACGTAGTAAACCAAACCAAAAATTCCATTCTAACATCCGGGGTGACGATATAGTCTACCCTCTGCAACGCCTAAATAAACGCCCATCTATGCATGCTATACTAATATGGCCAAACCAAAGTACGGCAGGCAATGCCAAAGATTCTAACCCAATATTGATGCCTCATCTGCGGCGCGTAACGAAGTCCGAAATGTATCATCCCAGATGAACCACCCTAAATATGCAAGTGCGAAGCACTCTCCCAAAAAGAAGAACAAAAGAAGTTTCACGCAGCCGAAGCCGACAAAGCACCAACATGCCATGACCTGAACATACTCTCCGTCGGCGTTCAACATGATGCCCTTTGCAGCTTCTTCGTCGACTGGCTTTTCAACTTTCTTCAAGAAAGATTGAGGAATTCCAGTAGTACGTTTGGCTTGGAAAACAGGCTTGAAATCGGGATCGTCGTTGGTTGGACGCGCCCATCTAATCATCCAATTCACTAGGCGCCTCTTCCAGCTTATGTCTTCTCTCTTCATCCATCTCCTTGTAACTCGCCCAGGACAGCAGACTAAACGCGCCGATGATGAGAAGTCCTCCAACAATAGCCGCGGGTGTAAGAGGCGAATTGAGCGGCGGGGGTAGAAGCTGGTCGACGAGCGCGACGATGAAGATGGTAAGGAGGGCGGCGACGGAGGAGAGGACCGGCGAGGTGAGGGAGATGAGTGCGAGGAAGGCTCCTGAGAAGGCTGCGTAGAGCGTTAGTATTGCGGTGTTTTGGGGAAGGAGCGAAGGGGTAAACATACTGGCATTGGCCAAAACACTGATTGCCATCATCCACGCCTGCTCTCCATGCGGCAGCTCAAACAGTTCCCATCCCATATAATGCAAAAACGGCAGCGGAATCCACAGCACGCTCAACGTGAACGCGCCGATTAGACTGCCAAACAGGTTCGCGAAAATAACACCTTTGTTCGGTGCGGCGCCTTCTGGTGGGCACGCCAGCCTCTTGTACAGCACTTCGTACAGGCCATACAAGACACTGCCAATGCCAATGACGAGGTTGCCAAAAGCGCGGTTCTCGGCTTCGTGCGACGGGGGCGCCTTATCGCCGCCGGCTCCGCCTCCGGATTTGGAGCCGTGCTTTGCGGGGGACTGGTCGCCGTATGCGACGACGAAGACGCCCACGATGGCGATGGCAACAGCGACGACTTTGGAGGCGCGGACTTTCTCGTGGAGGATGGGGATGCTGAAGGCGTAGGCGAAGAAGGCGGAGCAGTTGTAGATGGCGGTCAAGTCGCTGGCTGTCGTCTGGTTGACGGCTACGTACCAACTTCCTCCTGCGAGTGTGAGGGCGCATGTGATGAAGGCTGTCATCTTGAGCATGTAGCGAACGGGCGAGACTTGGGATTGGCGCGGCGTGGGGTGTAGGTTCTGGTGCTGGACCATGAGGGCGGTTTGGCGCAGCAGCTGGACGTGGCGCCGCCAGAAGGTCGGCCATGGCTCATTCCAGTGCTGGAGTCGCAGCAGGAAGAGAGTTGCGGGCCACAGCACTATCCACGAGCCGTGTGTCATGTACAGCATGCAGTACGGCTTCTCCCATTTCAACTGGTGCTGGATGTATACCGCCGTCTCGGTCTGCACTGTGAAGCTCACCAGACTCAGCGCAAGCAGAAAGGCGGCGTAGGTGTACTTCTTCCGCGTCTCGTGCTTGGCTTGCATCTCGGGATCCCGCTCGTGGAAGTGATGTGTGCTCCTTCCCAACAGCCCGTCGTCCATGTTGTCGTCCTCCGTCTTGCGCCCGAGCAGGGGCGCATTCGCGCGCCCATACTCGGCGTGGTCCATTGAGGGTCTCAGATCTGACGGCATAGCCGCGTCGTGTTCATCCCAGTCGTCGAACTCGAGTTCTGAATTGCCAGGGCTATCTGGTTCTCTGAGCGCAGACTTGCCGTTGGCTTTGCGATGTTGGCGCGACGAAGAGCGTGTGCGAGAGAGTTGGCGGGAACTCGAGCCGGAAGCGACGACGGGCGAGGTACTTCTATTTGGGGGCTCGAGGGTGAAGTCTTCGGAGAGGGTGTGGACGAGCGTCTTGCGAGGATGCGGCGGAGGCTTCTTCCTCAGCGGAATGGACTCAGCAGGCATAAGGTGAGTGGAGGCGCAAGCGAATGACAGTACCGGATGGTAGGTGAGTGGGACCGCTGCACGCGTGTGATAGTCTTGGGCGGCAGGACACTATGCTGTCTTGGATCGTGGTAAGCAGCTGGCGATATCCAGGTGTTCACAATGCGATGCGGCCCCTGCATCCCCAGGTGCCGTAACCTCCGCGAGAACTCCGCTCCAAGAGCCCACTGTCCAATCGCGCGCCAGCTACCTCCGTGCCCACGCGTCCCAGCATGCCCACAAACTTAGACGCTCCCCCTTTCATCTCCATCCTCCAAAGACACGCTCTCCGGCTCCATCACGTCCGTCGTGACGGTTGGGTGTCGACCGCAGTCCGTCTGAGCACGTCATATCTTAGCCTCATGCGCGATCGAGCGAGCCGCCTTGCGTCCAGGGTCATGTGAGAGACCTTGACCCCACGCACACCAACTAGGCACCCATGTGCCAGCAAGTGTCTCGCATTAGCGGCACACTCACGAACCATGAGCGCGGCCGGATGTTTTCGAGATACACGCGGTAACCTAGGTACTTTGGGTTGGAAACTGGGCGCCGTCGTTGGTCGAGGGGAGAGACGCCCACGGGTGGTGGTTGCGAAAACTAACAGAATAGAAGGCGCACAAGACTTGTAGAGATAAGACATGAGTGATGCTCTCATAGCCCGCCTTTGTCCATTTTCGGCTCTTTATTTCTTCGCAAGTGATCCTATTACTGCCTTCAGAGAAAAGACTGGGCATGTGTCTCCCACAAAGTATAACAAAAAAAAAGCTAAGAAGGCTACATCGTCTTCGGTCAAGTACAAACTTACGTTCTTATACCAACGTAGACTTCAGCGCACCTGTTTAGTTCCTTCCTTATACAAGATGCGTTAGAAACCCTGAAAAAAGTCTTGATACTCCAACCGTATGCACCCAACAAGTGCGTACCCACATGGCATGCTTGCGACACGTGAGAATTGATACCACTTGGCGCACGACATCCTCTTGGCAATGTTGATGAAGGCGCGTAGCTTGCGAGAAAGACATATCGCCAAACGGTAGAACAGACCTGAATACATGTATACATTAAGAGATAGATGTCTCGCTATCTTGATCATAAATACTCGTTAATCCACCGAACCAATCCAGCCCAAAACCTCACCACAAAAGCCCTACAACGGACTTCCATCTAGTCCCTCCGCCCGTTCCTGTGTCTCCGCCTCCTCCAACTCCTGCAAAATCTCCGGTAACATGGACTCGACGTCTTCCTCGCGCTCGCCTAGCGCTTTCGCGATGAGCTTCTTGTACGTGCCTTGCTTCTCACTCATGCCTGCCACACTGAGATTGCTCACGACTTCTCGGACGAGCTCTCTCCGCTCAAGTTGCGCGCGGTGGAGTAGGAGGGCCAGTCGCATCTTCTCTGTCACATCAACAGGCGAAGTGTCGGCGTTTTGCTGCGGCATGCTACTGCATAGTCGACGGAGCTCGGCTTTTTGTTCAATCTCAAGTAGGGACTCGGCTTCTTCCACAAGTAACCGCAGTTCTTCTTCTTGCTGCCGATCTGCTTCGTCGTCGTTGAGGTCGATGTGTATGCCATTCGACATGAGCTGGAGCTCGGCGACTTGTTTCCGTACGGCTTCGAGTTCGGCTTGGCGTCGCTTGACTACGCGTTCTGCATCGAAGGATTCTGCCTCCTTCTCTTGCAGTTCGGATTCGTATGCCTCGGCTAGCTCTTTGCACTTTTCTAGCAGCGTTGGCGCAACTTTGTTCATGAGATTTGAAGCGGTCTGTGAGCGGTACTCGATAGGTTCTCGGACAGCCATGCTGGGGAATGGCACCGGGATTAGCGGTCCGCCATCTAGATGTGGGACGTGTCCGTTGAGTCGGTGTTCTGGTGGCGGCGCGAAAGGTGACGATGAAGCTTGCCGTGGGCGTCCATGCGTTCGTCGTCGACTGTTGAGCTCCCTGATCAGATCGTCTGCCGTCTCGCCCTTTTTGTTCATTACGTCTACGGAGACGTTACGTCCCAGTAAACTTCGCACGCATTTCCTCGCCCCGTTCCGCGCAGCAATCATGATCGCCGTGTCGCCATTCTGGTCTACTGCGTTCAGCAACCGCGTAACCTCGTCTGGTATCCATGTTTCTGACAGCTTGTTGATGATGCAGTCGAGATACCACCTCGCGCAAACGTACTTGTTCGAGCTGCTCGTTGTCGCTGCGATGTGGTGGAATACGGTACTTCCAAACCAATCTGTCCGGTGAACTGTTTGCTGAAAGATCTTGACCATGCTGGGCATAGTCTCCTTGTCAAAGTTATTGGTGAACATGACGGCGCGCATGAGGGGAGTCTCCAGGTTGTTCGATAGACAATCAATGCGCGCGCCCCGGTGTATCAATTCCTTCACGACCCCCACATCGCCCATGGCTGCCGCCCAATGCATGGCTGCATGTCCCTTCTCGTCGATCGGGCGGTCCAGATTTATGCTCTGCGGTGGTTCGGGCCATGAGACGGCGGATTCGTGGTCTAACAGCATGAAGTAGTCCAGCAGCTGGTCTGCCCATATTTGGTGTTGCTGATCGAGCAGAGACATCTGGTCCATCCCCCTCTTGCGCTTCCTGTTGCCGCCCGTCGAGTATGAATCCAGCATATCTACGTCGCCCAGCATCGACTCGGAAATGACAGTCTCGTTATCCGGTGTCTCTTCGCGGAAGATCTGCGACCTGATCTGGGAGGCCTCGTACGGCTCTTCGCTAACTTGCGACTGCGCGCTGGTGGTCACGAATGCTGCGATATCAGTCAGCCCAATCTCCCGTATCCATGCTTGACAACGACCAATGAGAGTGACCTCCTACACTGCATAGACTCAAGCGAATAGACGTTTTTACCATTCCGAGCAGCCGCAGCCGCAGTTTGCTTGGGCGGCTTCATGCGATTCGACGCAGCAGTCGCATGCTTGGGCGCAGGAGGAGGGCTCCGGTCGCCGGGGACGTAGTCGAAAATGGCGCGCATCTTGTCCAGGACGCCGTTCCGCTCTGCCAGATGGCGTCCCTCCTCCAGCGGTATCCATGTGCCCTGGTATTTGCCATAACCACCCTGGACCTTTTCATGCACGCCCTTCTGGACTTCGCGCTCGAGGATGCGGGTTCGCGCAGGCTTGTCGTAGTCGGCTACCTTGAGGATGTGGGTCGCGTTGATCCAGTCGTCGGCACGGCGGCGCATGACATGGTTGCCGTTGACATTGCACTCGTAGACGGGGACCTGCAGGCGGGCTTTGTCAGTGCATCGTCGCAATACTAAGGTGTCGCAAGCAGTGGGGAGTGCGCACATTACTGTATGTTGCCGAGTAAATCTTGCCATCGGGCGCGGGGGGCATCTTCACCATTCGATGAGCTGTACAAGGTGTCTTGGGGCGTGTCAAGTGATTTCGTGAAGGCGTGTCTGCGGTTCGCGTCAGACCTGGGGGAAGGCGCGTTGGAGTCCGCGTTCGCGACTGCCCTGCCAAGCGTCGGGGTCATCAGCTGCCTTTGCCGACACCAAGTGAACCTCACCAAGCTCGCCCGCCGACGACCCTCCGCCCACCAGCCCCCCGCGCGCCATTGACGATAAACAACAACCCGGGTCGCCAGTATGACTGTCACAGATACCATCAAGCATGCCGTCGGCCTTGACGGTGAGCCGAGGAGTACGCCGGCCCACGCATCCTACGCATTCAAGTAATAGAAACTGACGGGACCGCAGAGGCTACCCGCGAGGAAATGAGCGCCGCCAAACTACCGCTTCCCTACCGAGACTCATGCGCACATCTTCTTATCCCCTTGAACCGGTGTCGGTACGAGGAGTACTACCTACCATGGAAGTGCGAGGTACGCGAGAATGGATGAAGAAGAGCCAGAGCGGGCGGCTGACAGGAATTCTAGAACGAGAGGCATTCATACGAAAAGTGCCAGTACGACGAGTTCAAGGAGCGGGTCAAGAAGATGGACGAGCTGAGGGCGGCCAAGAACGGACAGCGAAGCAACTAAGGTGTTATGCGGGAATGGTCGATGAACGTGTTAGTCACGAGCGGAGCATGCTGCATGTATATATCAAAGCAGCAAAAATCACGAAGACATCAAATCCATGATCCGGGGACAAATGATATTCTGGACAGAAAGGCGTTGAAGCGAGGACCTCAACTTTGACTTGGATCCCGTACCCGATCAAACGATAGCTGACTCGGAACGCTGAATCGCTCTCTTACTAAGAGTCTACCTCTCTATAAACGCCTCTATCAAATCTACAACCTCGCTTTGGTATCTTTCAGCGCAGCCTTCTCCCTCAGCTCCTTCCTCAGAATCTTGCCAGAAGGATTCTTCGGAATCGCGTCAATGAAATGCACACCACCTTCCAAGCGCTTATGTCTAGAGACACGCTCAGCCAGCCACTTCTTGATATTCTCCGCAGTCTCCGGAGTCGCCTTGTCGGGCGACTGAGGCATAATGTAAGCGCGAGGCAATTCATCGCCATTACTGGAAAAGGTTAGCAGTTGATACAGACTGTAGAGTATGCGGGCAAACTTACGCTTTAACGCCAATAACAGCCGCGTCCTGCACATCTGGGTGGTCCAGCAGCAGCGCTTCCAGCTCCGCAGGTGCAACCTGCAGACCCTTGACCTTAATCAATTCTTTCTTCCTATCAACTATGAAGAAGTAATTCTGTTCATCCACGTATGCCACGTCTCCCGTCTTCAACCACCCATCTTCTGTGAGAGTCTCCTTGGTCGCATCGGGCTTGTTCCAGTACCCCTTCATGATGTTGGGTCCGCGGACCCAGATCTCGCCTCTCTCGCCTTGGCGCGCTTCAACCTTGCCGTCGTCATCTACGACGATCTTTGCTTCGCAGTTTGCTAGGACTTCGCCGACAGAGAAGCTGGACGAGTAGGCAGATGGGGGAAATGTAGTTGCTGCGCAGGTGACTTCCGTCATGCCGTAGCCTTGCTTGACGTTGACTTGGCCGTTCGGCCATAGCCGCTCGAACTCCTCAATCACTTCCCGGCCGAGTGGGGCAGCGCCCGAAGACACGCCCGTCACGGAGCTCAAGTCGAATTTCTTCGTCGCAGGGTGCTTTGCCATGGCCACGATGACCGGTGGTACCAGAACCATGTCCGTAATGCGGTACTTTTGCACATTCTGTAGCATCTCGAGGAAGTCAAACTTGGGCATCATGTAGACCGGTACGCGCTGTTTTACCGCACCGAAACAGAAGATGGCTTGCGCCATCGCATGATACATGGGCAGAAAGCAGAGGTACTTCTTCGTCTTTAGCTTCTCTTGGTAATCGGGGCTGGTGGTCTGGATGTGGATCTGTTGGCTGCAGTTTGCGACGTAGTTCCTGTGCGTTATCATGACACCCTTGGCGACACCAGTCGTTCCCGAGGAGTAGTTCAGCGCAACTATTCGATCAAGCTCTTCTGATGTCTTCAATTCGGGCCATGAGTATGCGTCGCCGCGTTCTGGCGTATCGAGAAGTTCGGTCCAGTGGCGCACATTTCCAAGTTCCGTATTCTTCTCCACTTTACGGCCCTCGAACGTGGCAACACCATCGTCAAAGACAAAGATGCGCTCAGGACTCATGCCAATTTCTTTTGCAGCTGCGATTCCTGTGTCCAAACTGCCCTCTGCGCATATCATGAAGCGCGCTCCGCTGTCTTTCAATTGGTACGCTAGCTCTCGGGCAATGTAGGTGGGATTTGCCCCGGTAAAGACACCCTCTGCCATGACGATACCCATCACCACTGCTGGGAAGAAGAGCGTATTTCCCGAGTAGAGCAACACGCGGTCTCCTGGTTGGAGGCCTGCGCGCTGCAGACCTGAAGCGAAGCGTTTCGCATAGAGACGGAGATCGTGTAAGGAGATGTTGTACTTTTCAGGTTCGCTTGCTGAAAGATAAAACGGTTCCTTCGGTAATTCCACAGTAGGCGAATCAAAGATGTACGTTGGTAGTGAGACCTGGGGTATAGGGAACGAATAGCGGGATTTGATCACCATGGTGGCGGTTCAATGCGCTGGCTGAGGAAACGTCGCAAAGATGTCGAGCACGAGAATCAACTTGTAATGACGGGGTCCACTCTTACCACTCTTGGTTCTTGGCCCACTATTGGTATCCACGATGCGCTCCGTGCCGTAGCCCTTGTTGATGGCTTGCAGAGTCAGACGATATAGGCGTCAACGAAATCCTATTCGGCATCCATCAGCAACCACTCAATCAAGTACACGTACACACAGGAATAGTAACTCACGTTCTACCGATTCCTTCCTCTGCTTAGTGATCCAAATGTCTGAAATATACCAACGACACTTTTCGAGATGGGAAGTCGCGATACATGCATGGTGTAACCCAGCACACCCATCCACCGGTGCTATTACGCCCCGAGGCATCTCTGCTGACGCCACTGCACAAACGGCATGACTAGTCCGAGATAACACATCGGGTAGCTTAATCGCGTTAGTAATGGTCTCGGACGGGGGACGGATGTGAAGGTGGTGAGGTGCGTAAGCGGGGGATTGCTAGTTGTGCCGAGGTAGAAGTCTGGGGTAAGGACGGGGGTTAGCGAGCGGACGTCTGGGCATGCGAGTTGGGATGATTATTCGTCCGTTATTCTAATCGTTGCTTATTTCAAAATCTCCTATTTTTATTCATGTCTATTTTATGCATGAGTACAAAAATCTGGTGTGGAAGTCATGATAAAGGCATGTCTCAAATCAAAATTTAGTGCGCCATGTCAACAGACCATCTCAAGCCATGTTGACCGACGTCGCTATCTTCTTTTCAACTCCAGCAAAACATGACCAGGTAAGAATCGTGTTTTTGGACGGACATCCCATTTGAGGGTTGTCATTTTTGGTCAGACCATGTCTGAGTGATGAGGAAAGAAGAAGTTAGGGGGATTGGAAAGGTACTTATATATCTGAGATGGCGCTAGAGGGCGAGTACATGGGACGAAGAATTTACCAGCGTGACGTCCAACATGCGCTGTCGGCGTGAATGTCGTTCGTCAATGACGCCATCACCTCTTTCAAAACACCATGTCGTCCCGAGGACACCGCACGGAAGTCACGCCTCACGAACCTCAAACGATCGTAGCCAACGACGCAATCGATACCACTCCGATCGAACGCACAAACAGCGTTTGTAGCCTGCAAACCAACCTATCACTCGGCAGTTTGACGTCCAAACGCACTCGAATCACGTCAACCCTGTGCTTTCCAACGCCAAAATACAGCCGTACTACCCACCATGTCATATCCATCAACATCCCTCACAATCCCAATTACAACGCCCGAAAGCAGTGTGATCCGTCGCGCCCGGTTCCCATATTATTCCGCCGAGGCCACATTACGTATCTCAAGGACGTTGACTCGATCTCGCCGAAGTCTCTCGCGGGTTTGGAGGAAACGCTGCTGAGCGCTTTGGTTTTGTTGGCCGACATTATTAATTATCCCGGCTGCAACTCTGTCGTCTGATAATGTATGTGAAAACGTAGGCGAACTTGCAGCAGACGGTGCTGAATGCGTCTCTCTACGCCAGTCTTCGACCATCAATGTCGTATCCCGGCTTGGTGGTGGGAGACTCTGAGATATTCGTAGTGGTGGTGTCGCCCTCGGAGGGCTTGAAGACTGTTCGATAGGACGATAATCCCGAGGTGTAGGCGTCCCCGGCGCTGAAAGAGCTCCGCCAAAAATCTCGTTCATAGATCCCCTTAAAGGCTCTGGGTTTGGTCGTGCATGTTCCTCTTCACTTCCTTCAACGTCCTCTTCATCCTCGTCCATTACCGAAACACGATCCTCGGGCTCGCGTTCATCATCCGAACACTGGAACTGTTCATCGAACATATGCTGCATAACCTCCAGCGCACCCATGAAGATACGGCCGGACCAAGTCTCCAACATATTAGCATGTCTAAGTTGGTCCTCTACACGCCGAGCAACCTCAAGCTCCAACCATGCGGATTCAGCCGCAGCGTGCATCTCACATATCATAACCCATTGAAGGCCCGCCTGGATCCGCGATGCGCATACACGTTTTGGAATCCCGACATAGCATTCCGCACCAGTTCCATGGAGTCTGCGTTGCTCGTCGAAAAGGTTGTCGGTGATCGTCAATAGCTCGGTATAGCGCTTGGTGTCAAAAGAGGCATCACGATCGTAATACGTCTCCTTTTCTTTCCGCGCCAGCGCTTCCGTTGCTGGTGGTAGCAGGTTTAGCTCGAAGAGCTCTTGTCGGCAGCTTGGGCACTTGTTGCGGTTGTCAGTGTAGCCTTCTGTCATGTCACGTAGACATTGGAGGTGCAGTGTGTGTTGACAGGGGAGTTGAGCGAGGCGGGTACTCGGTTCCTGGGAGTCTACCTCCAGGAGCTCCAGACAGATCGCGCAGTTGGAGTCGCTGGTGGCCTCGAAGTCTCGGGCTTGTTGATGGATTCGCTCGTCGAGGAAGTGTTCGAGGCTGGGGAGGTTGTTGGACACCATACTAGCTGCGGATGTGCGATCTGGTTGAGTGTGTTGTGCGAGTGCAATCTCGGTGTGGATTGCAGCGGTGGGCGATTCAGCTTCTGGCGCTTTATATATGGCCTTGTGATTGCCTTCATAGTGAATTGCTATAGGTAGCAGTATATGTGGGGTACACAGTTGTAGCGATTCGCGAAGTGAAATACCCTACCCGCGACATGTACTGAGCATCGCTTTCCCTGTGGGAAAGATCCGATGTACCCCAAGGAGTCTGTATATAAGCTTCCACTCGTTTGCTTCCAACTGTCAAGCAAGCAACACCCCTAACTCAACTCAACCATGTCGATGCAAACTTCCGCTTCAGCTCCTGACCAGCAAGATGGTGTCATACCAGACTTGCCCGCAATGGGGCAATTCATAGCTACAATGGATGGGTCCGTTCAGTACTCCGAGCAGCTTCCCGACTCCTGCAGTATATGCTGGGAAGACTTCAACTGGGACAATGGCGTTGCAGTGCGCCTTCCATGCGGCCACATCTTCCACAATGAATGTTGTCTCAACTGGATGAATTCAGCCAGTGAGAACCGCAACGCCTGTCCCATGTGCCGGACGGTCTTCTGTCTCCATAATGCTCTGACACCCGAACAAATACGCGACAACGAAGAAGAGCACAACGAGGGTGTATACAACCGCGAGGCTTACTACTGGCTTATGGCTTACGCTGACTCATGGTACGATGCAGAAAGCTGGGATGGTCACCCGGATTTTGTGTACATTGTATGCGAAGTGAGGAGGCATTGGCATCGTGAACATCATCCCCAAGCGCACCAGTTCATATGCGACTGGCATGAAGAGATCGGGGACAACTGGCTTGAGCTTGTCGTAGCGAATCATATCCGGAACAGGCTCAGCGAGGACGGTCTTGCTGACTCTTGGGCAAGCCAGGAGCTTGAGGCGAGACGCAGTGGGCTAGTGAACTGTGTGAACTGGATGATTACGGGTTCCAACATGAATGGCGAGGTCTGGGTCCCGCAAAATATGCAAGAATTCGAAGCGAGGGCCGCTGAGAACGCAGAGGGCAATGAGGATCACCAGCAAGAGCAACACGATGACGACCGTCAGCCTGACGAAGATTCAGAGACTCACGAGCGATGGGCATCTGCCCATCCCCAAGAGGACGAGGAAGGTTTAGAGGAAGGCGAAATCCTCGAGGACGCAACCACGGCAGAGTCCTCTGAGCTTCCCCATCCCGAAAGCTTCGAACTTTCCGATTCTGAATCAAATCCAACGAATAGCCGCACAACCGTGCAGGCTATCATAGCACGCAACGATGCTATCCATCGACGTTTCCGGGAAGAACTAAACGCAGAGATTGTCGTAGGAGCCTCACACGAGTTACACGATTTCAGGCACGTTGAAACATCACCCCAAGGAGAAATACAGCGCCGTCATTCCCGCTCCCAATCTCCATCCCCATCTTCACCAACTCCATCCCCACCCTCACCATCTCCATCAACAGACTCCCTCTTCCCCCTCCCCTCACCCGCCTCACTAGCCGACCTCCCTCCCCCACATCCCACAGTTTCGCAACAAGACGTGACCGACACGCGCTCCTGGCTTCGATCAGAGGGCCACACCATTATTTGCGAGATGCACAACGTAGCTTCGGTTGTGTACCAAGGCGATGGTACTTATGATGTGCATGGTTTTGAAGGAGATGATATGGGGGTTGTGAGGGAAGCGGATGCGTATCATGTCGTGGGGTGGGTTGCGATTTTCTATCGTTATGGAGAGAATGGTGGAGATGCTGGTGGCTCCAGGGGTCGGGTGCTGCGTCCCGTATAGTCAAACTTCCTGTGTACAATTTGGGGCGGTTTCGAATGGAAGATTCGGTGAACAGTTTTACTTTCGCGTGGCAATATATCCAGGATTTTATTTGCTTGAAAGCAACGGGGAAGCTTGCAACTGAGTATGTTTGACGTTCCTGTCTTCCAGTGTCGTCCAATTGGTGAAAGAATACGCCAGCCGTGGGTATGCCCCTCCTGAAGCGTGACCGACTTGTGATATCCCCAAACGCCAACGCTATGCATAATAAAAATGCGTGAACCCTATACCTCCCATAATATCTCACAGGAGCGCAACTATGCCTTGTCCTCGGCCTCATCATCGCTGCTCTCCCTCTCTTCCCACCCCACCATCCGTCTCAACACGCGATTTTCCTCACCCAACTCTTTACATCTGCCCCTCAACCCCTGTTCAACCTCACTTTGGCATCGTAGCGCACTCCTTGCGTTCTCCGCGACGCGACTCAACCCGGCCTGCCAGTCTGCATGCTCTAGCCGCAGTGCCATAGACGTCGATCGTTCTTGATCAAGAAGCCCTTGGTAGTGTTTGTGTAAGGCGAGCATCGCGGAGGTTTGCGAATAGGCGTACGGACGAAGTTTATCGAGGAGAAGGGTTAAAGCGGATTCGTAGTCGGTGAGGAGGGCGGAGAGAGATGTATTGGTTGAGGTTAGGGAGGCGATGGTCGTTTGTGCGCTCGAGAGCTGTGATTGTAGATGTGCTACTGTCGCTGCTGTGATGTGTGTTAGTATGTGTTCATCCGAGTCCAGACGGTTATTGCCGTCTAAACCCTCTCAATGCAGACTTAACATACCATTGATCTCTCCATTAACCTCCCTCATGCCCATTCCACCTGCACTTCTCGGATTGAGCCCACCGACCTCACCCCCGTCTTCTTGTGCAGCCCTGCCTTGTATCGCAGCGACACCCTCCACGATACCCCTCGTTTGCGCCTTATTCTCCTCTAGCAATTGACTCAGCTGTTGCACCACCGCCCACAGATGGTTCATATCCGTCTGCTGGCCGCCGCTGGGTAGGCCATTAACCATTGGAACGCCGTTCTGGCCGCCGCCGTTAACTTGCGATCCTGCAATACTGCCGGCTTGTGAATGTGAGGGAGAGGGCGGAGGGCGATTTTGATTGTGCTGTTGCTGGGCGGCTTGTTGTTGGGAGGACTCGAGGAAGGAGAAGTTGTTCATGGCGACAATAGTGTGGGTGGGTGGTGGAGATTAGGTAGCTGCGGATATTGGTGGAGTCGGCGTGCGGCGCGGGCTTGATGGCTTCAGTAGTCGCGCTTGTGATTGGATTGGAAGTATGATGGTGGGATCGTAGGCGCCTACCAAGATCTTCTCAGTGACGCGACACTAGATCGGGGTATAGAATGCTTTTCTGCGTCTTGTGCGGGGTCAAGTTGGTACGGGTTGTGGAGTCTTGAGGCTTGTTGGCGATGCGCTCTGGGACGTGTCCAGATGGCGCTTGCTTGCTTTGGTGCTAGTGGCTTGGCCATACTCTATGGCTTGACTATACCGCGAACGATTGCAGATGGGTATGACTTCTTGGTAATAAGGTATCGATAGTACTAGGTAAAGAAAGCGTGACTAAAGTATGCGAGGGTAAAAAGCAAAAATGTACCACAAGAGGTATTCGCAGCCAGCCCATGCCAAAGAACAACCTCCCCCAATGGTATCCAACACTCCACAATGAGATTCAATGCGAGCCTACTATGACCGAAAGTCCATCCCCCCTGGGAGCTGAAGTGCCAGCCATCTACCTGTCAGGCAGCACATACCTCCTTTCTACACTCATCTCACGATCTGCCTCATCTTCACCTTCAAACCTTAATCTGACGAGATTGTCCACACCATCTCCTTCTTTGCCACCGTCTTCTTTCTTGACCTTGCCATCACTTTGCTTCCAGACAGCCACCACTTCCGCTTTGTAAAAGGTAGTGGTACCTGGGTAGAGGGCGAGAACATTCTTGCCTTTGCTAAGGTCTGGCAATGTGGTGTTTGATGAGGGTGGTGGGATGGGAATCAGGTGGTTGACAGAAGCGCGATAGGGTACTGATGGTGTTGGAGGGTCTGGATCAGCATCGATGATTTCGTAGCGGCGTTGCTTTCCTTCGCCGATTACGGATGTCACGCGGCATAGGATGCCCTCGCCCTCAAACGACATGGACGATGCCGAAGAGCGGTTCTTCGCGTTGTTCCGATAGAGGACCTCTGTCTGCGGCGAAAGACGCGGTCGGATTTCTGTAATAATATCGTCAGCTGACGTGGTGTCTGAAGGGACATGGGATGATGTGTGAAAAGGGCGCTGTGATAGAAGAGATGGTACATGGTGGCATCAGCACATGAAAAGAAGTATGAGATCAGATGAGGTGAGATTATGAGCTTGCCTATCCGACTACAAACCTCGAACAAGCCGAAAGGAAATATGCCAGTGGGTATCGTCTGCCGTCTAAGGTGAACGCCGATAGCAAAGTACAGCTCAACGCTTGGTCTTGTACTTGATTGTGGGCTTGGTTTTGGAAGAAGGAAGAACCATCTTACCCTTACCCGAGTCGTCTTCGTCCATCTTCACACTACCCTCTCTCGCAACAGGCACCGATCCTGCTCTGCTACTGCCCGATTTGGCCACCAGTCGATCTTTCTGGCTGCTGATAACGACCTTTGGGCTGGGACCTCCAGGACTGTCCGCAGCCATGCTGTCGCGGTCGTCGATGTTGTCGTTGTGCTTTCGCTTGCCTTGGCGGTCGCGTCCAGACTTTCCGTGCCCAACGCTGGTGGCTCGTGATGCTGAGGGCGGGGCCTCTTCCGCATGACGGAGGGCAGCCAGGAGTTGGATCTGGGTGGAGACATCATTACCGCCTTCGACCGGTTGGAGAAGGGTCTGTGCCTCGTTTAGATTACGTATGTTGTCGCGCAGAAGGTCTTCAAGCTCGTCATCAATACGGGCTGAGGTTTCCTCGCCGCGCTCTAGCCGGGTTAGCACAGTGAGACGAATATGTAGTAGTTAGTTGGGCAACGAACCCTGACGAGCAGACTGTTCTGCGACGAGGGTGCCGATTTTCTCTTGCAAGGCATCCGACTCTTTCTGCGGCATGTCAGCAAGGGAGCGGATTTAGATGTAGATGATTTAAATAATGCATGCGACAAGGCACGGTCTGTGTAATACCATGCATTTGTCGATGCGTCTGGCATCTGTCTTGATCTGTTCCCAGAGAAGCCGCTCCTCCTCTGGATCTTCTTGGGGGTTTCTTCCATATTTATTCCGGTCATGGCCCAAGTAGCCTTTAGAATCGCGAAGATTACGCGGTACTTCGCTCATGGTGAGGAATGCTGGCGATAAAAAATAGAGATGCAATTGTAATGCTGGTGTTGATGAAGAGAGTATATTCGTACCATGAGTTGATCAACGCGACGTGCGTCAGCTTTGATCGAGTTCCAGAGGGCTCTTTCCTCGTCGAACTCCTCCTTCAACTGACCACGGGGCCTGCTGCGGGCTGCCATATTGAGGAAGTCGTGGCCCGTCAACTCCCCAGCTCTTTTCGTGTTACCTGAGGCGGCGCAGGTAGTTCATGTGGCGGTGTGGAAGCGACAGACTGAGGTGGAGGAAGGGAAGTAGCGGCAGATGATCAACGTTGGGGCATGTAGTCGGCGGGATGCAGGGTAGGGTACGCTAGTCATGGGAGAGGGGATGAGCTTAAACCAACGGCAGGGTGACGATTGTGCGGGACCAAACAAGTGGACCCCGCCCAGAGCTCCTCCGCCAATTCGCGGCATCGCAATACATACGCAACCTCCACACTCTACCAAAATCAGATTCAAGATGCGGAACCCTCTTATCAGACTGGAATGCGGTAAGTCCAGATAGTAAAATGGATCCAAGCCGGCATTCACTAACTATTTCCAGGTGTGAACAGCTACGACTGGGGTGCGTGCCCCGCGTCATCACTCACCTTCGCCCCAGCGGTATGCTGAACCAACTCAGGCAAAGTCGGCAAAGAGTCTGCAGCCGCCAAGTTTCACGCTGCAAACGCTTCAGACTTCTCGATTGAAGAGGAGAAGCCATATGCTGAGGTATGAAATTCCAGCTTGCGATTGACGCGTCTTTGACACGGCCAGCTATGGATGGGCACACACCCGTCGCTCCCTTCCAAAGACAAGGAAACCCAGCGAACGCTTCTCGACCTCTTCGAAGAAAACCAAGCCCTGTTGTCATCAGATATTGCCGAGCGCTATCAGAATAAGCTTCCCTTCCTGTTCAAGGTCCTCTCCATCAACAAGGCCCTGAGCATCCAGGCACACCCGAACAAGAAGCTTGCCGAACAGCTGCATGCAAGCGACCCTAAGAACTACCCAGGTCAGCATAACTGCGGAACTTTCCAACGGAAATACTAACCTCACTAGATGACAACCACAAGCCCGAAATGACCATTGCGGTCACTCCCTTCGACGGCCTCTGCGGTTTCCGACCCCTCGCCGAGATCGCACACTTCCTGAAGACCGTCCCTTCATTGCGCAAGCTCGTCGGCGAAGAAGAAGCGAAGAAGTTTGAGGACACCATCAGCGGCAAGGAGACTTCGGACAAGGAGGAGGATATGCAGGAGAACAAAAAGGCTCTGCAATCTGCCTTTACGAAGCTCATGAACACGGACAAGGACGCGCTATCATCTGCCAGCGAAGAGCTTGTCAAGGCAGCGGAGTCTGAGGGTGACAAGTTCGCTGACGGCGGTCCACCCTCCAACGACGGCAAAGAGCTCGCGGACCTTGTCGTCCGCCTCAACTCTCAATTCCCTGGTGATATCGGTCTTTTCGTCCAGTTCTTCTTGAACTATGTCAAGCTCGACATCGGCGAGGCCATGTTCCTCAAGGCTGACGACATCCACGCCTACCTTTCTGGCGACATCATCGAGTGCATGGCGAGCTCCGACAACGTTGTCCGCGCAGGATTTACACCAAAGTTCAAGGACGTGGACAACCTAACAAAGATGCTGACCT